TTTATTATATCAACATCACTTCAACGTACAGAGGTTCTGTAGGACCTAAGTAAAGGATTTTAAAGCCATCATATGGTCTATTTGCATGTGTCGGTTTTACCTTAAGAACGCCAATCACATGTTTGGCACTACTCTCAAGCACGAGCTAGAAAGTGGTCGATACAACTGTGCATTTGTGTTTCCATGACAATTCGTGCTTGTTCTTTGACATGTACGAAAAGGTAGAAACCTATGTACGACAAAGGCAGTCATAACTGAAGTTCTGTTGGTTAACAATGATTTATAGAAAACTGTTCAATGATTTGTTCATGATAATTTCCTGGTCATTGTTTTCAGACCATTAAGTAGCACCATATTTGACTATTTCATCTTGCAGCTGTATCAAGACAAAATATTAGAAAAACTTTAATATTTCACATGTCTAAAAACTTTCTTTTAGCAACGCGATATTACTATTTTTACTAAATTCAAATTAATTAATTGCCAAAAAATTTAGTATTCCATTTAATTTGTATTTATGATACAGCTACTAAGGCTAACTGTCGCTGTCCCCAGGCTTTGCTAAGGATAAATACATTTGTGGGTGCGTTATAAGAATGAAAATCGATTCAGTTATTCGGTTCAAGGCCCCTGTAGCGGTACGTGTTGCTAACTGGCTACCGTTCTTCTGGTCAGTGGGTCAAAATTAGAGACGGCTGTATCTGGACCCAAGGTGTTTCTGACCAGCCTGTTTAGCCTATGTGCTCATAAGTTGCGGTTTGAAAAGTCACCCCCTCTCCTCCAGTGGCTCAGAGGCAAGTCTGAGGGCTTATTACGCCTAAACATCGGGTTTCATTACCCAAGGTAGGCAGAGCACAGACAGCCCATTATGTAGCTGTGTGCTTAACAACCAACCAATAAACAGGTTAAATATATAGTACCGATACCAAAAGTACTTTGACGAAGTACTTTGGTTTTTTCTGTTCTGAACCTTCCTCTCTTTTAGTCCCTTTTTTCAGTTTTTTTGAATTAACATTCTTGTTGCTTTCGAAGAAAATATTAACCTAACGCTAACGAAACGAACGTGTATGAGCCAAATTCACAATATACCATTACATAAAATACTTAAATTACAGAACATATATACATATATATATAACTAAGCACAGTTCAGAATCCATAGCAAGAAACATTATACAAAATAAAGGTATGGTCTCCTACTGCACTAAAAGAGCCAACAAGTACACTAAGTAGATTTTCGTTTAAATATCCTAGCATTACGAAGAAAATATCTCATATTTTCTGGAAATTCCTGTTACATCTGTACTTTCATCTTTATTTCATTATATTTCTTTTTCTTCTGTAACTATTGTGTTTCGACAACATAATCGATGCGAGACTGAGCTGTGCGATACCACATAAAAACATACATAAAATGATAATGGTTACATTTAACAGATGTTGTTCACAGCCAATTATCAGTTTTTTTATGAGCAACTTTTTTGGTGAACTTGGCGGGGGACGACATTTCAAAGTACTTATGTTCGTTTGTTTTTGCGCAAGGCTACATATGGGCTATTTGCGCATAGCAGTCCTTGCTTTTTACATAATAGACTAGAGGGAAAGCAGCTTCTCAACAGTATCTATTGTCAACCTTTGGGTTTCTCTGGTGTGATCGAATAGTGGGATTTGACCGTCACTCTATTAGCACGTCGATGATCCCAAAGTGTAAAGCACGTTTCTGCAGTAAAGGCATTCCATAAGCTCTCGAATTCACAATCTGGGCATGCTAACCACTAGACATTTCCATAAAGAGTTACTTCAATCCTATTCACTCAAAATCTCCATTCAGGTTGCTTACAAAAGAACAAAAAAGTCATTGAATGTGAATTTGAACTTTTTTTTATAAATCTTCAAGATCTTCGATTGTCGAGAGTCTGGAAAGAAACATACGCACAAATTTAATAAAATATAAGAACAAATTAAAGTAAATTAAATATAAGAACAAATTTAATAAAATATAAGAACAAATTAAACTAAATTAAATATAAGAACAAATCAAACTAAATTAAATATAAGCACGAATTAAATAACATACAAAAACAAATTAAACTAAATTAAATATAAGCACGAATTAAATAAAATATAAGAACAAATTAAACTAAATTAAATATAAACACGAATTAAATAAAATACAAGAACAAATTAAACTAAATTAAGTATAAGCACGAATTAAATAAAATACAAGAACAAATTAAACTAAATTAAATATAAGCACGAATTAAATAATATGCAAGAACAAATTAAACTAAATTAAATATATTGTTTGTTTGTAGTTAAGCACAAAGCTACACAACGAGCTATCTGTGCTCTGCCCACCACGGGTATCGAAACCCGGTTTCTAGTATTGTAAGTCTGCATACATACCATAGATATATAAAATATAAGCCATAAAGCAGCTAAAACGCCCCAGCTGATTTATTTTTTGTTAAGCACAAAGCTACGAAATAGGCTATCTATGCACTGTCCACTACGGGTATCGAAACCCAATCATTAGTGTTATAAGCCCATAGCATTACCGCTTAACAACGGGGGTGGGAGGGAACTTTTGAAAGTAAAATAAATACTTATAACTTATCTATGCATTTTACATGATTACAGAAAATATACGCACAGTATCCCGTTTTCCTTTTTCCCAATTAAAAACTTATACTTCTTTGTACACATGTCACTTGGAATCAGGGAAAATAATATATATAAACATTTTTAGTATGGAATTTTATTTGAATTTTAGTTATTGAATTTAGGACAAAAATTATATTGAAATACTTTAGAATGACTACAAATATTATCTAAATCTCGGAACCAAGAACGCAATATTGTGCGATTTTGTAGCCCGTTCTAGGTGAATGTATTTTCTTCCTACGTAGTTCGGTTGATGTTCTATATTTCAAATTGTATTAGGTCGTCAAGAAACTAACGTCGTTTATTTTTAAATGAAAAAACCCGAACAACTTATATGTCAAAACAAAGCATTTATTAAATGAAATAGTCTCCATTCTTATCGTTGATGCTTTGCCATCTTATAATCAGGTTGTTAATGCCCTGATTAAAGAAATCACTTGGCTTTGAAGCAAAAACCATGTTGATGTCCTCTTTAACACTTTCAACATTTGTATACGTTTTACCATTAAAATGGTGCTGCAGTGAACAAAAATAAGGGGTAATCTGATGATGCCATATCAGGAGAATATGGT